CGTGCCATTAAGAGGAGACACACAAACAAAAGCAAACAGTTATCAGTGATTTGGCCAGACTAGATTAAAAAAAACGAAACAGCATTTGTGATAATTTATGAAACACATGACTGTTGATTTTTTGACCGGTGCTGGGTTTGGGTACAGAACAGAACCAACAGGAGAAGATTCAAAATCAACCAACAGATTCCACAGCTTTTACTACTGATGTTTGCCCAACGAAACATCAAGTGTGGACAGCCTAACAAGATAATAATTGAGTAATACATGGTATTATGCTGGACTATACATAGTTAGATATGAGTTTTTTTAATGTTTGTGTTTTTCTGCATATATCATTTGTGAGGTTGTCATTCTTTCTTTAGACTTTCTTTATGCCCAGTTTTGTTAAAATACAATATTTGTCTGATGCAATGGTTGAACCCCTCATCAAACACAGATGAATAAAACGACTTTTATTACAAGGTGGCAACTGGTAAATTAAAAAGCTCTACCAAACTGGTTCAGGAAAAAGTGCCAGATGTTTTGTTGGCTAAACTCAAAGGCTTCTAATCAGGGATGAATTGGATCATCTTGTCTTCCTCATAAGAATTGCCAAGGTCTTAAACAAAGATGCTAAAAACAATTCAGCGAACAGATGGTGTAAAGGGCAAACACAGGAAGCCAAATGAATGGGTCACATTCCAGCTAAGTGCCTCATTCTACATGTTAATCATCAGGAAATAACCAAACAATTTGCTAAACTCTCTGTGGAGACAATAAAGAAAACATTAATGATTTTGATGCCAAAAAAAAACACTTGGGAAAAGTGAAGATTATGGACAACATAGAAAAAGTAAGGTAAGCATCCTACTTCTTTTAACTGCGCTGGGTGGTTCGGGATGAGGGTCAGCACTTTTAAATCTGAGGCTGTGGTACTCTATTAGTAAATACACCCGCCTCCATCAGGTTGTGAGAAGACAATTGAGTCCATGCAGGACGTGTGACAGGCTCCACCTCAAACAGTAAGGCTACATCAGAGCTACTGTTTTCTTTGAAAATGGCATCTACTTGTTAAAAGTTGTATCATTGTTGAAAAATGCAGAATTTCACTGTACAACAGCTGTTCGCAAAGAAAATAGGGTAGAAATAAACTTGTTTTTGATCATCCTTGCCATGAGCACAATCTTTTCCTAACCTGAACCATACTGTAGATGCATGTGCAGACTGACCTTGTCTGGTGATAAAGTTGGCTTGATTTCAGTCTCTGTTCCTACACCTAGGAAGTCAGGAATCTAAGTGGAAGATAGATAAAATGATGGATGAATGAATGTTTTTCCACTGCATCTGTAAATGTTCTTTTATCGAAAGTATCAAGAAAGTATAAAGATTAAATACAGTCTAAACTGTGGATTAGCTCAAAGGAGACTCAATGGTTTGGTCAGTTTTGTTGAGTCACAGCTTGTAAGCCTCTCTTTTAGGACAAAACACTAAAGCAGCCCTGTTCTAACAAACTCACTTCCACCATTTGCATCTCAGAATTATTTGCAGAAACTGAAAAGCTGACACAGAAGATGCTGCTAACACAAAGCGGGGGGACCAATACATAATTGTGTTGCTGAGGGTTAAGGAAACACCAACCAATTCAAATAATTGCCACAGTATGTCACAAAGCTTTTGAGACACTGGACTTTAAAAGTAGTGCAGCAGGCAAAGGTTTCTCTCAGTAATGAGTCTCTCATCGATTTCAGCATTGTGTGCTCAAACTAAGGCAAAGGCCTGAATCACTTGTTGGCAAAAAGAACATTCTTCTGGGCACCCTGCACAGGGTCGCAGTTGTTTGGAAGATTAAAAATCCGTTTTTTATCATAGAAATGTCTGTTTCTGTTCCATCATGAAACCACTTCACAAGAACGAAATGAGCCCAAATCCTGAAACTGCTAAAAAATCACTACAAGAATTAATCTGGGTTTTAGTGCATGTCTTCATCCAAAGAGTATTAGTTCCTGTCAGTGATATTTTGAATCCACGCAGGGACAATATATTTGCTTTTACAAAATGTCATCGATACGCTCTCTCTTCTGCTGCTAAATTGAATTCAAGGAGTGTCAATTAATTAAATGAGAACACTGAGGTCTTGATGAAAGTTGGATTTCTTCAGAAAATGATCTGACCCAAAATTAAAAATGGAAAAGACAGATTTTTCTCAGATAAAAGATTTGTTTAATTTATTTTCAAATGCTGGTAAGGTGTTGAAATCCAGACACTGAAACAAACACACAGTGACTCTTTAAACAGATAGAAAATAGATTTGATAATCACATTGTTATCACAAAATTATTGGAGCCCTTTCATTTCTATCGCAGAGCTCACACATCAGTTGTTCTCTAAGATGAAGAAAAGACAATTACAAGTTCTTTTAGACATCCAAACACTTTGACTCTAAAGACGTACAGTATTTTACACAACGACACAGATGACATGTGCACATCTCCAGGATGTAAAAGTTGTGTACATGTGGCCCAGCAAAGACATTGTTATATGACGGGTCAAAACTACACACACACAGACACCTCTGTAACAAAGAACCCCTACAGTGGTACTCCATAAAAACATGACTTTGTCGGATAACAAAGCAGAAATGCTTAATTAAGAGCAAGTCTCTGAACCTAGGTTATTTTAACCTGTTTGATCTATTGGATGAGTAGGAATCACCACATAAGGAAAGGTACAGCCAGTTTTCAATCACAAAAAAGCATATAAAGTTAAAATTTTGAAAAGGTTTGCTATCATTGTCTAGTACACCTTCCTGCCCTTTTCTTTTGGAAAGATCCACCCATCTGGATAATTGGGCTGCGACACCTTTATGACTCAGGTTCCCGGCCTCACACAGAAAGTGGCTCAGCCTACAGTAGATTGCATCTGAATCTGAGTTCTACAATGGCGAGGGGGGAGAAGACTCAAGAGTTGCCCAACTTCATGCACAGTGTATGGTGTAGAATTCCCAGAGTAGGCACTTGGACACAGTCACTTCCTGACCAACAAAGTAACCTGCAGGCTATAAAAAATCCACTGGGTTTGTGCCCAAACCTACAGTTCTATGCTACAATCAGATCAACAGGCGTGATGGCTGTGGCGAGTTAATTTGCTGCCGTTTGTTCACCAGTAACAGAAATTGGGTGTTTGAAACAACTGCATGTTGACATTCAACATTAATAAATTCATTCACATGGCTGATACACTGATTCTTTCTAATTATGATTTGTTTAACCTCGCCCAGAAGTGTTTTTTTTTCGCTTGCAGAACTAAATAAAACAAAAAAATATATTTACATTACTTATAATGTAATTTTGATATAACTTTACAGATGTTTCCACAGCTGTTCCCTAAATCACAAAGAAATTCACAAGAGACTGCAGTTGCAAACTCTTCTTCTATCTAGGGCACTGATATTGTCGTTTAATCACTGCAATGACATATTGGCCATTGAGTCTCTCATTCATATTGTGTTGCAGAAATTAGATCCCAGTCACACATGCTGATATTTTCAGCATGCTCACAATGTTCTTCTCTGGTGTTTGATGGATCGTTGCTCAGACTTTATTGCCATTTCCTCGTTATTTGATATTTGATGGTCCTGTGGTCAGAGATGCTTTTCAAAACTGGGAGAAAAAAATACCTGCAGTAGTGTAGACAAGGCTTCAGTCACTCTCTGAGAAATTAACTCCTGAATGCTGGAACATTACGTCTGTCAAGGTAAACATGATTACATTCTTTCCTTACATAACCTTGGCGAGGAGGGGCTGAAGTATTCAAATCTTGAACATGTCATGATGCTGCGGTTGCACATTGAGTAACTGTAGTGTAACCTAATTACCTGGACCACCAGTTTTATTCCCATGGTTTATGCATGTGTCTGCACACCTAAAGTGAACCCCTGTGTCTTGTAAAATAGCCTTCACCATGACTGTGAGACATTAAGTACATAAATCAATCAATACAAAGTAGCTGGGAGACACAGCCGTCCTCCTCATTCGTCTTAGTCCAAATTCAATCCCAACGGATCGACACCAGAGTGGGCACATTTATCTCTCCACTGTAGATCTATCTTCCCTCATGGAAATGTGACTTTTATGAGCATTTTGCTTATTTTGTGCTATCAATGTTGACACTGCTGCCTGATCTGCCTGTACAGACAGATTTACTCATATTCAATGAATTATTCCTTGTCATTAGAGAGTCTACTGTCACTTTGTATTGTTTGTGTGCTGGATGAACGGTCTATGTTGCTGAGCGAAGTTTGAAAACCTTGCATTCATCCTACCTGATTTATCTGCAGTGAAGATTTTCAAAAAATTGGAGACTTTGCTTAAAACTGTCCATATGTGTGACTCGTATATATGTTAGAATAACTTAACTGGTATTATTTTTTCAGACATTGCATGTTGGCTATTTCAGAGGTTTGTTGAGGAATCACCACAATGTTCTGACCCAAACTTTTCAAAATTAAAGCTGTGTAAATCAGCTAGATATAAAGCATTGCGACAATAAAACAAAGATTCATTTAGAAGACTTTCTAAAGAGGAAGTGATTCTATGGATGTTGTTGCCATGACAAAGATCAGCATCTGCAACACTCTGTGTCAATCTGATATGGTGATGTAAAAATAATCAAAATGATCTGGCAGTGATTTTGAGCAGTGGTGTTACGCAGTTAGGGACCTCTATAGTTTATCTTAGAAAGTAGAAGACGACATGTTCAAATACAGACTGAAGGTACACTGCCCTGCCACCACTGACCATTACAAAGTGCTGGTCACTTGTTTATTCAATGTTTGTAATATTGAATGCATACTTTGCTTGGACTAAGGAAACTAAGAACAAACGTGTGAAGATAAGATGGTTCACATGGTAGACTGAAAGAAAGAGAGACATTTGAGGAATTAGTAGGTAGATAACGTGTTAACTTTAAGTAGAACAAACTCATTTCATTAGTGTGTTGGTGCACAAATGTTTATTTTCAGTGAGACCCTTAAAATAATCTTCTAAAAAAACGTTTGTGATTTTCTGTTTGCAACAGCTGTTCAGTCATTTTTGTACATGACATCACACATTTACTCACATATCTACTCACATATTTACAGACACACACTCGCCGCGCCTCCTGCTAAAGAACAGTGCTGATGGTGTCGAAGTCCTTGCTGATCTGAGAGCTGCTGGGCAGTGACTTGAGGTACTCCAGGTGCCGTCTAGCATCCTCTTGATTGTGTCTCACATAGTAAATGACATACGCGATCACCATGGTGAACCATCCGAACATGGTGACGAACATGGCCACGTCGGTTGTCTTGTGGTGAAAGTTGCAGAAGTTGATACCTGAGTCCAGCACCTGGATCACCGGCTTACCCGCATACTCCTCTTGTACCGCTGTGTGGCAGATCACCTCGTTCACTGTCTCGGGGTCAAGCCGCAGCTCCCTCAGCACCTCCTGCAGCGTACACTCACAGTGCCACGGGTTGTTTGAGAGGCTGATTTTCGCTCGGAGACGGGCAAATGCCTCTTTCGGGACACTCTGGATGCGATTGTTTGACAGGTCCAGCACGAGGAGGCTGTCAGAAACGCCTTGAAATGCTCCAACGTCCAAGGTTTCAATTCCATTGTTAGACAGGTCCACCTCCTGAAGGTAGCGCAGTTCTCTGAAGGCGTGGTTGGGGATGTGTGTGATGTGGTTGGATGCCAAATGCAGGACAACAGTGTCACTAGGAAGATCTGTTGGGATCTTCTCCAAGTTGCGAGACACACACTGGACAACCATCATGCCACCTTTCTCTATACAGTGACAACTTGTAGGGCAAGCCAGCACCGGTGCACTTGGGATGACTAATCCAAGGAGCAAGCCCCATACAAGGGCAAAGCCATCAAAGATTGGATATTTCCTGGGCATATCAGGCCCTGCTAAGTCTTGCATATTCAGCAGTGACCTCCCACGGGGCCTGTCAGGCCGGAGCGATCATACTCTCACCTGTTTCTCTGCGTAAAATGGTGATAACTGCACGGTCATTACCTCTGAAAAAGACAAAATTATCAGCTTATCCTCAGAAACATGTGGGCTCATCACAGGATAATCCTTCAAAATTGATTCGAAAGAGTTTCATGTGTTCTTTTGAAAAAGATTTGTAACGAGCTCATCCAAATATCGAGCATGTTCCAGCGACAGCAGGGAACGGTAATATCACAGAGATCTTCAAAGAGCCCAGAGCTGGTCGAGCAACACCAGAATCACCATGTTCTGTTGGCAACTGAAAGAATCAAAGAAAATAGTGTTATTCTTGAACTGGTAAATAGTTATTGAAAGCAGAGAGCAGGCAGTAATAGCTGGCAATAAAATACAATCAAGCTCAATCACACAGTGACAAATGACAGGAGAGGGCATCTTGGCTGCTTTGTGCCTCTTTGTTGCCAATGTGGTCTTACTAGCCTGAATGTTATTCCCATAATGTATAATATGATTACTGAGAAAAACCAATTTGGCTTTAGCAGATCCCATACAGGGCACACTCATGAGCATGCTGGAAAAGCCTAATTTTGTTTTAGTTACCACAACAAACATTCATGACATTATGTCAATAATTATACAATTTCATGGCTGGACAAATGACAAATCACGTTTTCCTCCAACAGCGATGATTTTTTAAAAATCGAATTCTTTGCACAGCTCCTTTGTTTCCAAGGACTTGTGTGTGTATCATTCATGCGCACATGATAATAGCTGGCTGTGGGCTCTATGACTGTGTGTGTGTGTGTGTGTGTCATGCAGGAGGATCATCACTTTACTACTGTGCACCCTCTGGTGGGCTAAAACTGATCACACAAGCAACCCCTCGCTGTGCCCGCGGTCATCTACCCCACGGAGCCACTGTCTTTCCCTCAGTTTTATTCTCTCTCTCTGTTTTTTAACTCTCTGTCTTTGGCAAGGACTTCATGGCTCAAGGCCACACACACACACACACCTTAAATAAGCCCCTTAGGTTGTGATCTGTCCAAGCTCAGCAGGAGGTGTGAACAGGATGTGGGGCACCAGCACCCCCCCCACACACAAGCACGTACACAAGTGTGGCTGTAGTGCACCCTGCAGTGATCTTATAACACGGCTACATCATTAAATAGTATATATTAAGCCTCACATTCTGTAGCATGAGCTCCAACACATTTGATAGTGATCTGATCTTTAATAATCAAATTAAATTGCAACTGCACCAGATGTGTCCATCAGGTATAAAGAGAACATTGGAGATTAAATCCTAAACCTATCACAGCTTCACATGTAATGTAAGAAAGTAAATGCTAATGCACCATTAAGTAGCCTGATACTGAGTGGATCTAAATGAGCCTGCATGTAATAAGACTAATGATGCATATAAAGTGCAGAATAAGAATCATTATTTGGCATTTGGTCATACTGCAGATTTCATCACAGGCTATGTAGTGGTTGTGTGGTTAAATAGTGCATGGATACAATAAATACAATAGGTTTAAAACTTGATAAATACACATAGTAGCGTAGTATTTTGTAAAAGTGTACTTACCAGTAAAGAGTTTTATCCTGATAAAATGACTCTTCTTTTCCAGCCAGTGGGACTGACAGTGAAGTGTTGCAGCAATAGAAGAGCACTTCACATGTTAGGACTGAGGTCGCTGAAAGCTCCTGTAGACAGACAAGAAGACAAAGGAGCAGGTTCTCTGCCGGCAGCGGTGATCTGTCTCCACGCGGCCACGCGCCGCTCCGTGGATGAATGACGAGGACGCGGCAAAGTTCCGAAGCAGCACGCGGGGAAGTTAGTGGACAGACTCATGTCTCCGGATGTTTGTCTTCAGATGTCTGTGTGACAGCGGCAGCTGCACTTGTTGAGGACGGTGGTAGTGTTCAGGAGAGGGGGGGGGGCTCGAGGTGCAGCACCGGTCCCACGCGTCACAGGCGCGCCCCCCGCCCCCCTTCAAATCGCGCATGGTGCCAGAAGGAGTCCCGTGCGCGTATGGATCAGACTGTGGACTCTGTCTGTCTGCCTGACGGTCTGTCGCTCTGTCTGTCTGTCTGCCTGTCTGTCTGCCTGACTGTCTGTCGCTCTGCCTGCCTACCTGTCTGCCTGTTTGTCTTACTATCTGTCTCTCTGTCTTTCTACATGTCTCTCTGTCAGCTGCCCTCCTCTCTCCTCTAAGACAATTATCTACATCATTAAGAATGGTGAATCTGAAAATTGCCTCGAGACGCTGTATGAGATGAAACACAGGACAAGGTACTGAGTCGCTTCATAACTTTTCACTTGGCTGCCATTATCATTATTATTATTGATGTTGTTATTATAATTTGTATTATAAATCCTAGCAGCCTTACAGTGGTTATGCTACATTGATTGCACTCTTTCTGTAAAGACTCTTATTTAATCAAATGTTTGAACGTTCCTTAAATCCTGGAATTATATAATTAGTTATAATCAACCAAAGAAAATGATATATTTGGAATTTATTCTCAAGTATGAAAGAGGCTGCTTGCTGCCCTACTGAACAAAGGTGTATTGATTATTATAATTGGCCTAAGTGCCATACCACACTAACCAGGATGTCGGGGATTTAGGTTGCACAGCAGTGGATCAAGATGTCAGCTACATTGTACTCTGCTGATCCCACACACACAAACTGCATGGAGAGTAGGCTAAGTTGCTTGTTCTGCAACGATTCAAAGCCACTTAATGCTCTATGTATGTCTGCATACATAATCTATGGTCACACTCAGCAACCTAATAACAAGAGGTATTCATTAAACATAATATGATGTTTATTTTATGTATAGTTGTACTTTTTGTAGAAACAAGCACATTGTCCCTGCTGTTGCAGACAACAATGAATGTTGTTTGCATCAATATGGTAAATAAGGTCACATCCCATATGACCTGAACAGACTGTACATGACCGCACATTCAATGGCACATTCAGTGTTGCTATTTTTCAATTGTTTTGTTTTATTTCATTAGTTGAACTCAGGATGGATGGGCAGGTTACCGCAGGCTATAAAAAAACAGTGTCTTGTCAATTTCCCAGGTAACCTTGGAGAGGAACGGAACAAAAAAAAATCTGCAAATGTAGGTTTAGAAAAGTGAGTGTAACCGACCCATTCAATTCCATTTGCGCTCTCCCCATGTGATGTAAATGTAGGTCAGATGGTCCCAGTGTTCCAGGTGTCATTTGAGCAACCGAAGAGTTTTTTATGGGACAAGTCCCTCGTCAAAACCCACACTCAGCTAAAGGCAAAAAAGATTGTGCCAATGTGGTACCAAAGTACTGAACTGCTCAAAGGTGATGTCAAATAATATAATACTAGTCTAGTGCAGTACATGTTTTTATAATGGGATGTCCTCTTGTCCTGAGTGCTCCAGAGTCACTTCAGAATTATTCCTTTCATTAGTGAGTCCTCCTCAAACAGTTCTACTATATACTGTGACTTTTATTGTTTGTGTGCTGGACACAGAACAGTCTATGGGGAAGAGTGAAGTTACAAAACTAAAAATGTTGTTGCCATGACAGAAATATGCACCTTCACAGGTTTCAAAGGTTATTAAAATTGAACATATTGTGTGTCTAAATCGCCCCGAATTCAACACTGCACCTTCCTGGGCCACAAGTAATGCACATAATTAGTTTGAATGGGTTCATGAGATATTTAATCTCTCTCTCTCTCTATATATATATATACACATATACATAGTCTCTGAACTCATTTGTTGTTTTGATCATGTGTTATAGGCCACAGCATATGATTCACATCATTTTCAAATCCCACCATTCCCATGACCCCTCATGCCATGTGGAGGCATCGTCATCCTCTTTATACACACACCCATACATATATTTATACACACACACACACACACACATACACATTCATATGTGTACCGTATAATGATCTCACCACATTCCATTTACTCTGTGGCAAATGGCCTGGTCAGAGTAATGAGATCCTCAGCAGCAGTGTTTCAGATGAGTGGATGACACTGCTAAGGAGAAGGTTGAAGTAACAAATTCACAGCGATGTTTGTCATTTCTTCTTATTATATGTAATACAAGTTTACTGTTTTGTTTAAGGGGCCAATGCTCATACAGATCTTGTTACCATAGACTGTAAATAAAGATGGATGACACATCTCTGCTTCCTCTCACTATCCAGAAATTAAGCCAAAACATCCTGGATACAGACTCTGCCATCCTGTATGGTCATAGTTAGAGTTTGGCAACCAAGCTTTGACCCCATCACTTCCCCTGATTTGATTAATGTAATGGGAAGTGATGAGATATCTCTGAGCCTCTTGTCGGAGCCCACAGGTGGGTGCTGGGGTGGTGGAGGGGCTGAATCAACAGGCAGCCATACTGACGCAGGGCAGCAGAGGCATTGACAAGCAAAGAAAGAGATGGAAAATCTTTGCATCCTAAATTGGGAGGGTGTGTAGGACAAAGGGGTTGTGGAAAATAAGGCGCATCACATGACTGGAGAAGTGCAGCTTAAGTTGTTTGCCTGAACTAGCTCAAAAGTGTCACTCCATTTGTGCTTATGTATGTATGTAATGCAGATATAATGAAGTGATGAAAAAATAAAGAATCTCAATCACAATATACTAGGTTGAACATTCCAGCCTTCAAAGACTTTAAACTTTCAATATAAATGAGGTCTTTTGTGTAAAGAAAACATTTTTTTTAGAATATTGAATTAGATTATATTGGAAACTCTTTAAAAATCATACAAGTACAAAGTGAATAGGCCTTCAGAGAATGAATGTTTTCAGCCTCATTTTTGATGAACATAATAATTCCAGGGACATAGCTCTGCAGTTTGCATTCCCCATTAGTCTATCATTTATTGTTCCATGATATGTAAGGAGGTAAGAGTTTGTGTCAGAAAGACCCGTCAACTCGCTCATGTAGGCAGATAATGAAAGGCAGTTTACAAATGGCACCGACAGTAGGTGTTCAAACCACAATCTGATATTGAAGGTGAAAAGATATATAGAACTACACAAGAGGTTGTTGCATCCATATCTAAACTATCTAGATAATAAAATACTCATAGATATCCCACACATGTGAACAGTGACAAATGATTTTGTGTGATTTAATCTCAGTTAAAAAGGTCAGTGTGTTTTTCTAAAACGTGTCTGTTCTAAAGATGTCTTCTTGGAATAGGCTGTCACAGCTCAGAATGATTCCTTGTCATTGGTGAGTTCTCCTCAGACAGTTCTACAATATGCTGTCTACTTTATTGTTTATGTGCTGGACATTGTTTTTTTTTAGAGTCTATGGTGCAGAGTGAAGTTAGAAAACTTGCGTAATTTATCATGCCTGGTTTATCTGCAATGGAGCTTTCGCGTTTGCACAGATTTTACTATGAATGTTTTGAGTAAAAAACATTTGTCTCTGTTCATGTGTGTGGTTTATCTATGAGTTTTATTGACCAACATAACAATTTTTTCATCCATTGCACGCTGGTTATTTCAGAGGAATCGACACAATCTTCAGACCCAAGCTCAGAATTTTTCAAAATAAAAGCCATATATTTCACACAACCATGTCTGTGTCTGATATGGTGAAATGAAAAATCATATATCGAATCATCAAAATGATTTGGTGGGACGGATATTATTGACAGCCAGTTATCAACCACTGGTGTAGTTCAAGGACATTTCTGGGATTAGTAGCCACATGCTGGACATCTAACTGACAATGCAGCAGATATGGCTTGGCTGTAGGAAGATGCAACCTTCCTCCTGGTCTTTTTTTTTTCTAGTGGTGATTATATTGTCTGAGTGAGTGTTTAGATAAGAGCATGTGAATTTTCAAAGTCACCTATCTGCTCTATACAGCAGAGGTAAGTCCTGCCTGTCATGCAGTGAGGCAAATGCAATGTGTTGCTTGTGTAATTACGTTTCCGCAGGTTATTGTGATGTTCAGGCGATGTTAAATTGGCTGCCTTAAACACAATCCACAGGCTCCCCACTCAGGTACAGTCCAGCACTGGGGCGGCTGTGAAACTTTTAGTGCCCATTAGGATTTAACCACAGATGCATCGCAACAAAACTAAACAAACTAAAAGAGAATAAAAGCCATTAAACTGTATATGGTCCATCAATAAAGATTCTGCAGAGTTAGTGAACTCTTAAATGGCTCAGGGTGCAGGCTGGACCAATAACAACACCCACACACTGGTGGCAAGCCAAACAGGGACTCATCATTTTGGGAGGGAGGCACAAAGAGCAATTCAGAGTTCTGACTAAATCACTATCGACGCTGTGTTTGCTGCCTCTGACTGACACGCAGCATCACTCTACTGTTACCACCTTTATCCACCACACAATAGTCACTGATCCATCATTCACTTGGTCCCAACATAGGGCGGCATCAGCAGCCATTAATATGCTAAATTAGAACAAATAGGCTCAAGGATATTGAATACACGAGTGTGACCTGAGAACACAAGCAGCTGCATGGAGGAGGAATTCAATCTTAAGATATATCTCACACAAACGCAGCCAGACATTCACACGTAATTTCATACTTTGTCGCACCTCATAAGGGTCATAATGGGGAACGCTGGAGGTTTCACTCTGCCAAAACACACACACACAGAATCAAACACAGAGTCAGAAAATGGGAGGACTGTGACAGTTCGATAAAAGAAAGCCAAGGTCAGGAATTTGGAGCGCAGCTGTTGCCAGAACAGTAGAAATAACATCCTGGTACATGCTGCCCAGTGGAGCCGTGGCTACATCAGAAGAATTTCCTCTATGTCAGACCAAGTTTTTGTT